CACACACACACACACACACTGTTCCCAGTCAAGTCCACTCCCTGAACCTCCAACTCCGGCCCTTAGACTGTGCCCCCTGCCAGGTACTAGGCACTCTGCCCTGAAGGCCCCAGGCCCCAGCTGGAGGGAGTGATGATGCCCTTGCCATCTAGTCAGCTGCTCCCCTGAACCCCCTTGGTTCTAGTCTTGTGCCTTGGCTTGCCTGGACTTTCCCATAGTGCCCTGAGAGCCTGCCTCCCCACTGTAGGCCAACGAGGCCGGCCCAGTGCCCAGGGTCATTGGGGGACCCCAGGAGACAATATCTGTCTGGTGAGAGTACAAAGGACCTGGATGTCCCACTTCTGCTTCTCTGGAGGCCCCTGTGCCCACTGAGCAGTAGCCCACCATGCTCTTCACTGAGACCAGGACTCAATGGGAACCTGAAACCCCAAATAGTGCTGGGACACCTTTCCCTGTTGCCTGGGGTCAGACCTGGTGCCTAGGGGCTGCTGCCCAGAGTGGAGCTCCCAGCCCTCTCTGTTCCCATCCCACTTTCCACTTAAGCCCCTTCCTATCACCCCACCTTACCCTGTCATCCCTTGTCTAGCCCCTTCCTCCCCCTCCTTCTGCTCCTGGGGGATGCTCCCCTACCCGGCCCCTCCTCCTCTCCCTCTCTGTATTTTTTCTTTTTTCCCCCATCTTTTTTCCATGCTTTTTTTCATCATTTTCTCTGACCCTGTTTGGGCTGGGCCTTCACAGAAGCTGGGGGGCGGAGGTGGGCCCAGTGAGAGGCAGGAGGAGGTGCTTGGTGAGCACAGAGGCCCCAGAGCCTTTGAAGATGGTGCAGTCACGCGCACACTGGCTAGCCCATCTTCAAAGCCATGGGCTGACAAGGCTGAGGCTGGGAGGAGCGGTGCCCCGGGCTTGCTGGAGGCGGCCCAGGGACCAGGGGAGGCAGTGCACGGTGGGATCTCCAGCCTAGCCTGCCACTAAAGCTCGGTCCCAAGCTGGGCAGGGGCTTGCTTGTCCCTACTGGGTGAGCCCAGCCTTTCTGCATAGCATGTGGAGGGTGGGGTCGGGAGTCCCCCACAGAGAAGCTTTTCAACTAGGAGGGCAGGCTGGAGGACAGAGGGCTGGCTCAGACAAAGCGAGGCCCACCCAGCCAGCCGCCTTCTGCCCTAGAAGGAGGCCGACATCCAGGTCTACCTTCCCACAAGTCTCCAGGCCTTTGCCTCTGGCCAGAGCCAAGCAGAGAGGGCCCCGGGCAGAGGGAGACATAAAGTAGGGCCCACCTGCCCAGTTGCCCCAAGGGCTCAGGGTACTGGATATTCTGGGGGGAGGGTGGTGGGGCTACAAGCCCTAACAGAGCTCCCCAAAGTGTGTTCCACAGAGTACTTGTGCCTGCCATGAATTAGCAGGTACCCTGGGAATCCATAGTTCCGTGGGGAATCCTTTGGGGGAAATACTGCCTCTGGTCTTCCTCTTGGAGATCTGGACCGTCCTGTACTTGGCTCCAAAAAATGCTTCAGGAATGGAAGGGGAGCTTCCTGGGACTAGAAAGCCACTTCTTCGGGTTCCAGCAGGGGACAGCCTGAGGGCACTCAAGTCCTTGGAATACAGGGTGGGAAACCAACCTGACAGCGATGACCACAGGAGTCTTGCCATCTGGAATCTAGGGGTGGCCCTCAATTTTGAGGCCTGGGAGGGGGCATTCCAATGGCCTCTTCCAGATCCACCCAACTTGGAACCCCCCCCTCCCTCCCCGCAGTATGAGGCCCTGCTTTGGGGACAAAGGCCATGTCTGGTTTTCTGTTGAAGAAGCAGGTCCTCCGGGGGCCTCCCCAACGAGGACCTTCGGCTCCTGAGGGCCTGTCCTGCCTGGTGAAACATCTCCAAGACAGAGACTTGACTTGGGCAGAGTCCCCTCTGGGCCTGTGGTGGCAGCTCCACTTTGCTCCTTGACTTCCAAGTCTTCAGATTGAGAACGAGAGAAGGGTTAACCTCAGAGAACAGAAGCCAGCTCTTACCCCCACCCTTACCCCACTTATATTTGATCCTCACAGGGCCCTCAGCTTGGCCTTAAGCAGTGTCCCACCGTCAGGACACCCTCAGGTCCACCCCAGCACTCCTCCTGGGAGCCCTTCTTCCTGATGATCCAGCCATGATCCCTTCTGGCTACCCCTGTGGCTGGGGGACTGCTCTGGGGAACCCCCACTCTATACCCTGGCCCCAGAAGCCTGGTCTGCCCTTCTCTGGGCAGGGAGCTCCCCGAGTTTCCGGACTGGGCATCCTGCCAGCCCTGACATTTGCTCCGATCCCATACAGAAGCCCCGCTCCTTTGGTACAGGCCAGGGAGCAGGAGGGCTGGGGTGCCAGACCCCAAAATCCCGCCTTGGAAAGGGACAAGCCACACACAGAGACGGTACCTGCAGGCCAGGTACATACTGAGAAGGGGTGAGGGAGGGACTGGGTGGGCTGGGCGTGGCAGGTCCATTTGACATCAAGGGTCTGAGGCTGGGCCTGCCCCATCACCCCCACCCAGCGAGTTGACTTTGATTAGCGGTTGCTTGCCAAGTTGGGGACTACGGCCAGGAGGGCTAGGGGCCTCCCAGTCACACAGCAAAATCTCACAGCCACTGAGCCAATGCTGACTCACAGTGACCCTATAAGACAGGATAGAACCTGTGAGTTTCAGAGAGGCGCGGTGGCTCCTTCCTAGTGTCACCCAGCAATGGTAGTGGCATAACCTGTTCTACCTTTCAGCTCTTTCTAGCCAGAAAGCAGCACCTTCTCACCCCCGCCCCCACCTGACCCCTAGGCCCTGCCCCCAGCACCCTCCTCGCCCACCAGGTCCTGCTACCCTCCTCTC